GCCTCCCAAGTAGCTGAGACTACAGGTGCCTGCCACAATGCCTGGTTATTTTTTGGTTGCAGCCATCATTGCTGTTTGGCAGGACCAGGCTGGATTCGACCCCGCCAGCTCAGGTGTATGTGGCTGGCACCTTAGCTGCTTGAGCCACAGATGCCAAGCCAGTAGCCATCAATATTAAGACAAGACCTTCTCCACAAGTAAAAAGATCACAAATTGCTAAAGGCTCAGGTGAATGTAGGTAGTATTTTTTTTTTAGGAATTTTGTATTTTTAAATTAAGGTAATACACATTGCTTTTTCCAATAATGCTGTTGCACACTTAACGGACTATAGCATAGTACAAGCATACTTTTATATACACTGGGAAACAAAAAAATCTGTGTGACTTGCTTTTTTGTAATATTAGCGTTTGGTGGTCTGGAAGCAAATTCACAGTATCTGCAAGGTACTGTCTGTTTATACATGTTAAAAGATCAAATACTCTGGAAAAAGTTATAATAGCAAAGCAATATTCCCCTGTCCTAAAGGTCTACAAGTTTTGCTACTAATTTGTAACCTTTTTCCAAACTTACTTTTTCTGATTTCTTCCACAGTACTAGATAATGTTTCTACTATTTCTTGCTTTATTCATCTTAAACAATATTAGTTGACTCTTTATTATGGAAAACTAGAAGTTTCTCATTTACATTATCCCGATTCTTGTTCTCTTCCCTACAGCCAAGTATTAGTTGTTAAGACTTTAGTTCTACTGATTAGCTCTGTAACTTTAATACACTTAAAATTTCTGTATCTTGTTTCATGAATCTTATCACTTGACCACCCACTTCCTTTTCTTTCCTCTTCTCTTCCACATCAACTTTTGCAAGATATACTTTAACTTCAACATCATTAAGGCTTATACACATAACATCTTCAAGTCTTTTATTTTCTAACTGGAGGTTGATTATAAAAGCTAAATACCAACAAATGATGTTTGCATCTTCTCAGTATTAATTTTTCAGAGGTAAAAGAGATTTCTTTCTGTAGCAGTCAATGTCACAATCCCAACCCACTAAAATTTTGGCTGAGTGTAGTGGCTCACACTTGTAATCCTAGCACTTTGGGAGGAAGACTGCTTGAGGCCAGGAGTTTAAAATAAAACCACCAAAAAGAGAACATTCCTAGAGTCCTGATCAACTGAATTCTCTTAAACTTAATCAATTTATCAAAATTATGTCATATTTTAGCTTGCTGCAGTTTAATTTTAAGTGGATACAATATTCAAATCTGAGTCACTAAGAATTTTAGAGGATCAGACATACATGTAAATGTGAAAACGTCTGATAAAAATTCATAGACAGTCTGTTAGTTTTTGTAAAAATAGGGTATAAAATAAGCTTAAATAACTGCTATTGAGAAAATAATTTCAAGACTTTCTAAACTTTCTAATAGTAGCAACAATGATGAACTTTAATTTGAACCACTTTACTCCTTAGATTCATTCTATGTTTCAGGAACTCTGACAATGAAAGAGTCTAATTCTAGGCAATCAAGTGGGGCGAGAAGGTAAAGCCTAGATTTTTTATCAACAGAACACAAGTTCCCTTATATTTCTAATAATTTAAACTGTTTTAGCCAGACAGTCGGTAAAAACTGGTATACAAAAGCTAATTATCAGATTATGTAGTATTCCTGAAAAATGAAGATATACATGTCTTGGTATAGGTTTTTATTTTTATTTATTTATTTATTTTTTAAAACAGAGTCTTACTCTGTCACCCTGTGCCGGCCATTGTGTTATAGCTTATAGTAACCTCAAATTCTTGGGCTTAAACAATCCTCTTGCCTTAGGCTTCTATATGGTTGGGGCCACAGGCATATGCCACTCCACCTGGCTAGTTTTTCTATTTTTGTAGAGAAGGGGTCTTGCTCTCATTCAGGCTGCTCTCAAAGCTCCTGAGTTTAAGCAGCCCACCCAATCTCAGCCCCACAGAGTGATAGGCTCATAGATGTGAGCCATGGCACCTAGCCTAGGTTTTTATTTCTAGTGTAATACATCATATAATAGTAAGTTTATCTCATCTATTGTAAGAACACTTACCTGATGTCCGATTTTCTTCTGACTGCTTCAAACTCAGCTGCTTTTCTCTACTGCTGCTTAAATACTTTCTTGAAGGATCTGTCATAGCTTTGTTGTTCCTATAGGTAAAAATTTTGAAGCAACATAAGCATATATTCTTTTTATGTATTTAGAGTCTTACTATGTTGCCCTTGGTAGAATGCTGTGGAATCACAGCTCACAGCAACCTCAAGCTCTTGGGCTTAAGAGATTCTCTTACCTCAGCCTCCCAAGTAGCTGGGACTACAGGTGCCCACCACAACACCCGGCTATTTTTTCTGGTTGGAGTTGTCATTGTTGTTTGGCAAGCCTGGGGTGAATTCAAACCCACCAATTCTGGTGTATGTGGCTGGCACCCTAGAGGCTGAGCTAGTATATATTGTTTTTAATTTTATAGTTGTTATTTTAAAAAATGTATAAATCAAATGTTAAATTCATTGATAAGCTTAAAAGTCAACTGACAATGCTGTGAAAGCCTCAAAAAGTTAATGACTTTAACAAGAATTATGATAGTGAAACCTTGAATCTACCAAAAAATAAGAAAAATTAGCCAGGTATGGTGATGTACACCTGTAGCCCTAATTATTTGGAAGGGTGAGGCAGGAAGACAGCTTGAGCCCAGGAGGTCGAGGTTACAATGAGCTATGATCTTGCAACTGCACTCCAGGCTGGGGGAGAGAGCAATTTAAACCCCCCCTCAACTTTAAGGGGGGTTATAAAAAGGAGAGAGAGAGGATTATGAAAATATCCTTTCATTACCAAGTCAAGAGCTTATCTAATCCATAACTGTGTAATTAAGCAAACCTAAAGGCACATTTTCTTTTTTTTTGAGACAGAGTCTTACACTCTGTTGCCCTGGATAGAGTGCCATGATGTCATCAAAACTCACAACAACACTGTGTATGTATGGCACACCTCTTGGGGGCAGGACACAAATATAAGAGGGGCTTTATCTAAAAAATGCAATGAGTATAACCTAATTCTTTGTACCCTCAGTGAGTCCCAAACAATTAAAAAACATATATATATTTCTCAGGATTTATATCATGAAGATGTTGACACATACACACAAACTCAGCAACCTCAAACTCTTGGCTCTAGCAATCCTCTTGCCTTAGTCTCCCAAGTAATTGGGCTACAGGTATGTGTCACCATGCTTGGCTAGTTTTTCTATTTTTAGTGAAGATGGGGTCTCTCTCTTGCTTAGGCTGGTCTTGAACTCCTGAGCCAAGCAATCCACCCACCTTGGCCTCCCAGAGTTTTTGGATTGTAAGTAGGAGCCACCATGCCTGCCTGATGCATTTTCTTTATATAAAAGTGAAATCAGAGACAGCAAAATTATATATGTTTTCTTCACCAAAAGCAAAACCAGATGAAAAATAACTAATCAAAAGAACTAATTAAAAGGTAAACTGTTAAAGACTGATAGTTTATAGGTTTAAAATGTAAAACAAAACTTGAAGCATTCTTGTATTTTACATGCTTTGAAATAGTATTCACTAAATCTCAACATTATTTTAGCTTATAGTGATTAAAATATTCTAAGTTCATAAACACAAGGTTAAATTTTCTTAAACAAGCCCTGTTCTCCCTCTGTATTATTATTCTCAAACACCTGAAACCGTGTAAGAAAGAGTGTCCATTCAAATACATGTTCATTCTTTGGTTAAAAGTGCTAATTTAGAAGAATCATCATGAATTAAGCCCTTAGGAGACAACTTAGGTGCTCCACCCAGATTCCCTGGCTCTAGTTTTGTGCCCTTCTATCACATCCTAGCGCTCTTCTTGACAGAACTCCCCTCAAGTTACCAGAGATACTTTGCTTATAATTTCGGAGTTACAAGTAAAGTTGAGTGTTAGAGAACAGAAGTCCAGCTTCTTTCATTTGGATTAAAACGACTTTATGATGGAAGAGACAGATTTCTCCTCCAGAATCAGGACAAAGCCCAACCTTCATGATCTTGTGTGACTTCTGTATGAGATTACACCCATGCTTCATTTCCTGCTCTTCACTCTCTTGCCTTCCTCACTCCCTACCTGCTTTCCTCCTAATTTGCTTGCACACTAATCTCCATTTCAGAGCCCACTTCTAGAGTATGTACTCAACATCAGGTGGTACTAGAAAAAGGCCTAGGAAGCACTTTAAGAATGGGATTCTGGTATCACAAGAATGGAAGAAAAAGTATCCAATGTACACACCCCTATTATGAAACTAATTTATACCTTTTATAAGAAAGCTATAACCTAATAACAGCCTAAGAATACAGGGAGGGGGGAGAGAAGGGGGAGGGAGAGGGGAAATGGGTGGAGGGAAAGGGATTGGAGGGATCACTTCTGAGGTTTATCTTACAAGGGTACAAGTGAATCTTTCTAAGAATAGAATGTGAACGTTTTAAAACAATAACTAAGAAAATGACATGAAGGCTATGTTAACCAGTTTGATGGAAGTGTTTCAGATTGTGTGTGAAAACCCCACACTGTACCCCAGAAATG